ATACATACATATGTGTGTGTGTATGTATATAACACACACATGCATGCATGCACACAGGTTAGTATGTGCACATATACATTTTATATATATATGTACAAGCAAGTAGAGGAAGACCTCTAACAATTTTATGCTGGCTTCATGATGCTGATAGCTTGCTTTCAGAACCTTGCAGCCTTGAAACAATCGTAAGGATACTAGGAGACGGGCAGGCCGACAGCAGGCTAGTCGAAGACAGAATGATCATCTCAAACGTTGAAGTGATGACCATGTCTGTCGATGAAAGCTACACTCCCCTCTGAAACCCAAACCCTGCCTCACCCCCTCGCGGAAGTCTTTCTAAGTATAACTACCGAAGGCTCGAGGAAAGCCCTCAAAACCCATTCTGGGTACGACAAGATGCTTGCCGGCGCCGGACCCTGGGAGTAGGCCCAAAGTGGCCTCGCTGAGAATTTGAGAAGTTCAGAGTGCTCAGAGTGCTCAGAAGCTCAGGCTTCGCATCGAGGCGCAGCCTGGCTCCAGCTGAGAGGTGCAGTCGCCTTCAAAGTCTACGGTGGTCTGATGTACGATGATCATACCATCGAGGTTCGATCTCTGGAGTGATGAAGAACAGCACGAACAGTCCAGGCAGTGCAAGACACCCAAACTCTAAACCCAACCCCCTGAACCCGAACTCCTAAACCGGGAACCTCGTGCATGAGCCCTGAGCTAAGAGCTCCACCCGCCAGGAGCCACCACGGCGACCTGGGCGGGTCGCAGGGAAAAAAGAGGAGCCTGAATGATTTGAATAGGATCATTTGAAAAGGATCAGCTATAAAGGGCTTTCATAATGATGTGTGCTGGTGTTATAAGGGTCTACCATGGGGTACGGAGCTTAGCAAGCCCTTGACCTTACACTGCTGAGCCTCCAAGCTCGATCCACTTGCTTACCTATGAACCTCTAATCTGTCATAGCATGTATCCATACACACATACCTACCTAGCTACATACATACCTGCCTGCCTGAATGCATACATACATACATACATACCTAACTACCCAATCGACATGCCCTTGTCAGACTCCACTGACTTGTGGTTTGGAAGCTCGTTTTTGTGCAGGTTTAGGACGAGATGCCCAAAGCTGCCCTGCTCAGGCACAGATGCAACCCAGGACCTCTTGTTCATCAAAGTGGCAGCTGGCCACTATCACGTTGCAGCTGATGTCATCCGGTACAACCTCGCGCATTGAAACAGCGACAACGCAGACTTGGACCCGAAGAACATCCTAGCCTTCTTGAGCTTCCTAAAGTAAGCCAACGCTGTAAGACGGGTTCTGCATGATTCACGTTCTTCAGGGTCGGCAGGCTTGGTTTGACTTCAATTCTTCATCTGGATTAGAGTAGCTCTGCCCAGAGAGACGTGACAAGATGTGTAGTTCGGCGAAGACGCCACCAAACCCGAATTTTCTAGTAATGTTAACTCAGCTTTCGTCGTAACCGGGCAACGGAGCAAGGAACCTCAGACGATCTCTCTGCCGAGCTTGATCTTTCAAGCTTCTGCACCGCGCCTCTTAGTTCAATATGGGGGAACCTGATTAAGAAACCCTGGCCCTAAAACCCCAATACTGCATCCACTCTCCTGTCCGCATCCAGAAAGGAACCGAACATCCCATCTCCCAAAGCTTTCCAAGCCTTTAGAAGCCCCTCTCTGTGGGCCCAGCAACAAAGTCTAACATCCGCAAGAGCAGCATCACGGCGCGCTCCCACTGCGCAGCCTTTTCGGTTTGCAAGAATTAGAACCGCCTTGTGCGATGAAGCTCCGTGCAGATTTGCTGCAGACAATAGCGAAGCTTTCTTCAAAAGATGGGCAAAGGATGCAGGCATCTTCTGCTGTGGTGACCCTGGCCCTGTGCGGACTTACAAACCCTGAGCGATACCACCCAAACTCAAACACTTGCATCTGGCCTTCTCGAAAGTGCTGAGCAGACTGTTAAAGCTGAAGATATCTGGCCTTGAAGGAGCTGCAGTAAGTGCTGGGGCAGCAACTCGGACAGCTCGGAAGACAGAGTGCACAAGCGGTCGAACAAGGTGCAGGCAGGCACATGTCACAGATTTACAATCATGCAACAACCTGTTTCACATCTTTGTCGCCAGGCGCAGCAAACACTGATCCCTCTTTGTCTGGGCCGTGCGCCAGAAGTCCTCCTGCACCATGGACACCACAAGTGCCAGAGCATGCTCCTGATTGAGGGCTTACGAACGGGCCAAGTGTTCCACCGGCTTGATGGGAACATTGGAAGTTCTTTGAGTTTCAAGATATGTAGAGTAGGCTGGAGGCCATTCAATATTGATGCGGAGCCTGTGCTTTTAGGAACCCCTGCGCAACCAACCACTTGGAGGCAAGCCTTCACCCTTTTGCCTGACTCTTCTGCTCCTACCCATGGAAGGAGCACTTGGAAATAACACCCAGCTGCATGGATCGCAAAAGCCATCAGTGCAAAAGAGGAATCGTTCACGGAGGTAACTTTGGGAAAGCCCAGGTACAGTAGATACACCCGAGCTCCCTCAACATCCAGCCCGGCACCGAGACCATCACCCATCTTCGCGAAAACTCCAACGACGCCAGGACGACCTGGGGTGTGAGAGAGCCGACTTCCCCACATGCATGCTTTGGTGCAGCAAGACTAAAATGCAGCAAACCTGCATTCTGCAGCCCTGCACCCATGTGGATGCTATCTACGTACACATATTGCATCACCATCGTGTTCGCAATGCATTTGCTACTACGAGTGCTGCGCACACAAACTTAATAGCATAGCCGTGCAACTGCCATCGCACTTCGTCATACAAAGGGCATCTGAGGTCGCCCGCGTTGCGCGTCACCTTGGCTTTCGCACGAAAATGCCGCTTGGATCCTGCATGATCGCACTGCTACTGCAACAAGTTGCATCGAATCGCCAAGCTTCCAGTCCCGGTCCACGGGAAGCTGACCCTGAACCCAATCGCCCCGAATATGGGGGGTTAAGTCCTCATGTCGTTTTCTGCTTGCAGCCCCGTTGCCAAGTCGGCAGCTGGACCCAAGCTTCCGAGTCCAGCCAAGGCCTGCCTGAAATTACTTCAAGCTTACGCCAGATGCACGAGCAACAGGTCAAGTTGGCTCATGCATCTTGTCAACATGATGGACTGAACGAGACCGAAATCGAGAGGCCCGGTGCCATTGCCGCTGTGATTTCACATGATTTCACCAAGGAGGGTACCGCCACTGCTTGCTCGCGGCACAGGCGCCTGAGCTTTCAGGGACGGAAGGGGATGGCCTGAGCGTCTCGGCTGAGTCCAGGTACTTGAAAGGATGACGTCTGTTGCACTCAAAGTTCGAGTCCAAGCCGCTGGCTCAGAGCTGTGTTGAAGGCCGTCAGGCTCGGCCGAAGATGCCACCTCCGTGCAACTCAGGGCAAAGTCGTCTCTGAGAGCCCCACAGCGCGGCCGCGAAGCGGCCCCCGCCTTTGGGACGTCCACAGCAAAGCGAGGGCCTGCTGCCAGGCCTGGCCCTGCACGGAAGCTTGGACGTTGCTGTGGGCTCTCGAGGAGAAGTTGTGCTTCCCCCAAAAAGTTGCGCACCCCAGCGAGCGCAGTCCCATGCAAGAGCTACGCATTGCAGTGCATGCAAGAGTTGAGCCTACCGGACGAGTGTGCAACAGGAAGACGAACTGCCACATGCCTTACCATCATCATCAAGTGCCTTGCTTGAATTCGAATCGCTCGGTTTGACTTCATCTCGCATTGGTTGTAGGAAGCTTGCCAATAGGACTACACCAATAAGGCCCAAGATCAAAGCAGTTGAGCTTCGTTTGCAAATGGACCAGGTGAACCGGTGAAGCTGCTTGTTGCCCGTATTCCTCGAAATCCACAGATGGCGACCTGTGATATGTAAGTACCTGTTCGTTTATTTGTCGTTCAATGACGCTGGTTCTGGTGATGGTCAATGTGGGGGCACTGGCACTTCTGTGATTCACTGTTATCAAAGCTGTCTTATACCTCGTTCTGAGTAGTAGTGGTCGTGGTGCTGCTTCTGAGGCCGCTGCCGATACTGCTGCTGCTGCGAATACTAAGTACTACTACTACTACTACTACTACTACGACGACGACGACGACGACGACGACGACCACGACGACGACGACTGTAACTGTTGATCAACCGTACTACTCCTGCTTCTGCTTCTGCTCCTGCTCGTTATCCTCCTGCTGCTGCTGCTGCTGTACTCGAGGTGGAAGCGCTGGTGCGGTACTTGTTGCTGTTTAACACTTTATGTTAGCCCAGATAGTGCCTTGGCACAAGCGCTAGCGGCACTGGTCAAAGCAACTGCATTGGGCCTGCCATCCAATGGATTTTGCAATTATGCCATGTGGCGTCGCTCGGCGGTGTCAGCTTAGCTAAACTCGTGGTGTCTGGCGGAGAATGCTGTGACATCACTTAACATAATGTCCGACCATTCGCTGGCGGACGCATCAGTGTAAGCTGTGTTTGCTAGGAAGAGGTGCCTCCCAGGGCAGATCTACGCGAATCAATGCCTTACGTCCTTACGTGGTCGGAAGCCTGGCAGGTGGCAGGCTTTGGATCAAACCCGCAGTAATTAGCTAAATGTAGTTACATCAAGGAGATATGCAATGAACGCATCGTGGTAGTGAACCTGGATTAATGTTGTCCGGGTCCTGGGCAGCGCGCGCCGCTGCCGGCCAGGGTGCATCCTTCATTTGTGCGAGCCGCAAGCAAGAAGCCACAAAAGCCGGATCCCTGGAATTCCGCGTTCTGCCCATGCTCTGTGACCGACCAGGAGCACGACCGACAGCCATCCCCTCACCGTCTCAACATTCCACGAGAGCCCTTGGCTTTCTGAAGAAGATCTGTTTCAAGCTCAGCATGTCATCTCTTCTTCTTTCCAATATGTTCAGCAGCGACCAGCCACTGTGTCAGCACAAGTCGACGACGACAAGGTAACATGGCAACCAACGTGTTGAATTTCCACAGGCAGGGGTGAGCAACGCGAACATGCGATTCGTCAAGACTCCCTTCTCAAGATTCTCAAAGCTTCCCTCTGCTTTGAAAGCTTCCCAAGAAGCTCCCTTCAACCTCTTGAAGCCCTCAACCAAAGCACTGGCAGCAAGGGGCTCCGTAGGCTGAGCCTCTGACATCCTCACTGCAGTGGCAAGGGCTCGGTCCCAGCAACTCGCTTGGTCGTACCTTGAAAACATTTGGTCAGGCCTCACGCAGCTTAGGGTCCCCGTAGCTCGATGTACACATCGGCCGTGACCCGTTGCGACACACATACGCTCTGTTGTCTAGGTGCCTGAGTGCATGGACACATTCAGAACACCTGCAATCCTAGGAGCTGCAAACACAGGCCCTGAGCTGCCTGGAAATGCCCAAAATCTAGCCACTGAGAAGCTGAGTTCTGCTAGAGTCTACTAGAGGCTTTGGGGTGGGGCCTCGTAGGATTGAATTCCCTTCAGCAGCTCCTCTTACGAGAAGCCCCCTTACTTGCTGCCCTGGGTAGCGCACGCCTTGACCAGAGCGCTCCAAACCACGACGTTGGCTTCAAGCTTCAGGCGCCTGGGACATTGGCTCGGAGTTCAGGGTGTCGGGGTTCAAGGGCTTCAGAATCAGGGCCCTGGGCTGCCTTCGCTGTTCTATCGGAGGACTCCTCAGGATAAGGCCTGTGGGCACAGCAACCTTTCTATCGGTGCTGGGGTAAAATGAGCAAGGGTTGCGGCCAGTTGCTGCATCGACGACTTCACTTGGCTCCAAGGGTTTCAGGGCCCTTCGGGTCTCGTCATAGGGCTTGAGCAGGTTGAAAAGAATACAGTACATCTGACTACTAGGTTGCTGCCACCTGGCCCCGACGGATCACACTCCCGGTCGGCCACAAGCTCCTATGAAACCATTCCCGGTCGCCTCATGCTGCACATCAGGTATGAAGCAGCCTGCAGCGGCGCTTGTTCTTTTAGTGTTGGAGGGGGTGAACATGAACGAACCTGAGGGAGTCTCAAGCGAATCCCTCACGCAAAAATGGGTTGGTGGTCCATGTCGAATCCCAATACTTCAGAATCTGGCGAAAATACGATTTCTGGTGCTCAGGCTTTCTACAAGTTTTGGCATGTGCAGACATTGCATGGCAGGCGCACATACACACACCTGCAGGCTTAAATTGGCACCTGCAGTTTAATCAATACTTACTCACTCAAGCATTACACTCAGTACTACAGCACCGTAAGCCCGATGCTAAACGCTCAGCGATCCGCCCGCAGGACAGGTGCAGCAACCGTCGCCTCCCATCGCGCACTCCGTCCACAAGCATCCACCTCATTCGCGGATTGCTTCCACATTTCCATGTTCCATGTGGATTTGCAACGTGGCTTGGGAGTCAAAGGCGGCCCGGCCCATAAGCAATTTGATGCAGAATAAGGGCTGTGGCGTAGATTTATGTGGATCTGGAACTCACCACTCACCATCGAAAGCATTCAAACCATTGCACTACATTGCATTCCCGAGCCCCTTCGATAAATCGTGAAGCGGAAAGTTGGGCTGGGAACACAGGTTGCGTTCCCACTTCCTTTGCAATATGGATGCACTCCACTGAATCGAGCATGTGGGAAACAGACTCGGCAACGATGACTTGGACCAGGATGCAACGCAACACACGGCATTCACTGCCCCCTTATGCACCTACAATTCTGAGGGTGGGAGTAGTATAGCAGCAAGATGCTATGTTCAGCAGCAGTAACTACAGCCGAGCTTACATTCGAAGACCGTCCTGCAAATTCTCGCGCTGACTTGCCGCCTCTGGTCATGCTAACGAAGGACTCCTCTTTCTACGTCTCTGAACCTGCATGTACGATCGCGCTACGTTGCCTCCAATCAACGGTGGCAGTAGCAATGCCTCAAAACCGAGAACGGCGAAGGAAGCCTGCATCTAGATTTAATCTAGTAATGCTCGACCAGCATGTCACTCTGGAATCCTGTCAAGGAAGCTTGAGGTGAGAACTGCAGTACTCCAGGTGATGACATCGGGTGAAACCCATGGCACCTGTTGCGCATAGGTTTACGGCTTTGGGGTTTGGGATGCGTCGTCCCATCATGAAACGCTCTAACCGTCTCTAACCCGTGTTGCAGGAAATTAGGTTCACAAGCCATTGCTCCAGTACCCCAATGCACGAACTTGTCGGATCCTGGGTTCAGGGCACACCTCCCATGGACTGTTCCTCTGAGACGGTTAAAGATGTGAGGGCAGAAACACCCCGCTCACTTTGCCAAGCCGCACAGCAGCTTTATGCATGCACTGGCTTTCTTCTAGATTTTCGTGCGTGTAGGCAAACACCGTCCCCGTCTGGTATCACTTGCTGCTGCTTCTTACCCCCGATCCACAAGCCGAGAGGTTGCATAACTGGCATGCTGGCACTACGAAGTCAAACCTCACGAAGAAATAAATTGTCCATCCACACACCCACACACCCACACACACACACACACGCACCGAACCGACAATGTCTTATCCGAAGGCGAAGCTGCTGTCAGCCAAAGCTGGGTCACATTTCACTTGCAAAACGATCCGGAACATCACCAACCCTGTCCCGCCTGACACATGGTATCTACCGCCTGCAAGACTGAGGTCCACCTGGAAGCCTGGGAGAGGAAGAAATGCGAGAAGCAACAAGGCACTGCAGTGCATGTTGCTCGTGCAGCATGTCACGCTGCCTGGCAGTGGAATAGTAGCCTCGTTTCCCGCAGAACACATCCGCATGGTCCCAAAAAAAGAAGGTGTCCCTTACAACCTCAGAGGTGCCCCATTCTTTTCCTCTGCTCGACGTGGCTCGAATTACTCTATCCGCTCGATCCTTTAGGTTGATGCCTTGGCTTTACGTCGCATGTCTAGCAGCCGCTATGCTGCTTTCTTCACAACTGTAGCCTAAGGGCTGATACCAGCGAATAGATTCCTTCTGCTGCCACCAAATCCATTAACTCACTGCATCCTTGACTTGCTGATAGCGGTTATCACCTGCATAGTCGAATCACATCTAATACCAAGCTTTTGCGCCTGGTGGTTTGTTGGCAGACCCTGCTGACAGGAAATGTGATGGTTCGTCCCGATCCCGATCGCGACCAAGAGTTGCATGGCTTGCCCCACCGTAGGAACACTTGTGAACCACCACCATGGACCGTTGCAAGCATCTCGTGCTCAACCACTGCAAGTACTACTTCTGGAACTGAAACCCTGGAGCCAACACAAGTATCCGAGCAGCCTGCATTGCCATAAACGCTCAAAAGCCTTGGTGGAACGTGACATTCTGGTGTGGCCGGGCTGGGCTTTACGGACATTATTCGCGTCTGTAGCAAGCGAACCGCAGGACCCCTGCGAACTCTGCAGCCAGTCCACATGGCTAAAACCAAGCTTTAAGCTTCGAAAAGTAGAATCAGAATGCAACGCTGCAAGTCGATGACAATTACTGATCATGTCCGAAGCCCTGTAGAACATGTTCCCCATGCTAGACAGAAGCTTGCTCCATCTCGGGCCCGGGCGCGTTGAAGCTGCCCTTGTCAGGCTGCAGTCCGTCAGAGGTGAGCTGCCTGTGAAGCGAGGCGCGACATGCTCAACAAGAAGCAGCTGCCCGTGATCTTTCCGTGTGCACATACACAAGTACTCTGCGACAGCCAAGGTTTCTACACGTGAGCCACTGGAGACGGCGGACACTGGCTTCAAACCGCGAGAAAGCCTACAAAGCACACCGTTTCGGTAGCAACCTGTCGTGCTGCTGCAAATACTTGGGATGCGAAATGGCATGAGCGACTACCTCATGGGTTGAAGAAGACAAGTGTTCTACCATGGGCCGCGCGAGCTCCAAGTCACAGCCTGAACAAGCTCGTCGCCGTCTCCCAGGCACCAGGGAAGTTCGCCTCAGTAGCCGCCAGTGGTAGGCTCTCGGGCTCGGCCTTTGTGACTCAGCTCCATAGGCCCGAATCCCAAGGCGAGACTTCCATGCTCAGCTTGACGCCTCATCGCCCGACAGAGAGCGGATGGCAGCATTGTATCCTGAGCACGTTGCAGGTATACGGCTATGGAGTTCTTACGTTGAGAATGCTGAGGCCACGAGGCCTCCGGGAGCTCCCCTGGAACGGGCTTGGACTCTGCAACAACTATATAAGAGACAGATTCTCCTAAGGACCTAAAGCGCCCAAACCCTGAACTCCAAACCCTAGCGGTCTATGGCCGTAGTACCCCGGAACTTAGCTGCATCCCTCCTGATCAGACCGAAGCCCGCACCGGGGAGCCCTGGCTGGCAGCACCCAGCCCGCATGGACTCGAGGACCTGCCCATGGAAGGGCTCCCAAGTGAGAAGTAAGCGGAGGTTTGGGAAGGTTCGGGGTTTAGGCTTTGATGGCTTATGGCGACGGTTCGGTGTTGATCGGCTTAGGGTTTCACTTTGTCGGGAGGTTCTGGGGCTTGGGGAGCTTGTAGGGCTTGGATTGCCGCACTTCGCGCATGCACTGCGACCGAACGGAAGACGTGACATGGGAAATGGCATGACCGAAATGACGCAAAATGACTTTCCCATCCAGCTCCATCACCGGCTTGATTGGACGCACGTGTGGTTCAACATGGAAAATGCGAAAAACGTGCAGATTCAGTCACAACGATGACTATCAGAAGGTGGACTTGGATATCTCATACCTGCAGCATGACCACAATGTTACTAAGCACACTTCAATTGCATGCAGCATATACCGATAGATGCCCGCATAAACTGATCCATCCACCTTGGTAGGTACCAGAATTGATCTCTCGAAGTCTACGTAGATGTATTTGCATATGCATGCATGCATGCATGCATGCATGCATGCATTGATGTATGCATGTGTGCAATGCCATCCGCCTGAAGCGCTCGCCGGGGCATGTCGGCTTTGCTGAAGAGGGAGATGAGGGTGTGGTAGGTGACCTGGGCAGCTTCCTATGGCTAGAAGCAAAATGACTTTGGAGTTCTGTCTCGAAGACCTGAGCAGCTGGCGCGGTCGAAGGAGATTCTTTGCTCCTCCAGCTTTGCGACCAGCGCCTATCCACAAATCCACGATGCTCGACCCCTGCGAAGCTGAGAGTTCTGCTCCGACGAAATTGGAATCCCTCAACGGTCTGTTGGTTAAAATGCAGCCAAAACGTAAAGAGCCATTGAATCCAATGACCCGAGCTCTCGCCCGCTGACTCTGCTTGCGCTGCAAAGGGTCTACAAGCGTACCGTGGGTTTGCGCAGGACTCGAGGAGGAGCGTGAACCCTCATCGCCAAAATCCTTCTCAAACTTCTCTCAGGGATGCGCTTACGAAGCTAGCTAGCTTCTTGAGTAGTTGCCTGCGGACAAAACACAACTCCAAGCCTTTGACAATGGAAACCTTCAAAGTGGTCCTGCCTCTTCAAACCACACTCCAGTTTCTGAAGGGGGGTTCGCAACAGCATAGGTCGTTTCGGTGGCCCCACAAACCACACATTTTCCAGCAGGAGATCGAGTCTGCTTGGCAATCGGACCTCGGCAGCCGGCAGCACCTCGGGCTGCGAGGGGTTTAAGGTTATGGGGCTTTGTATGGTATGGTATAGTCTGGTATAATAAAGTTTGTGCAGCACCTGAAGAAGGTCCGCTCTAAAGTTGCGATGAGGAGGAAACTGCACAGAAGCAGCTGTTCCCCAAACTCCCAAACAGGAGCCCGGTGCAGCGTTTGGGGCTCAGGGTTTAGGGACTTCAGGTGTCGGGCGAGAGTTGGCGGCGTTTTGCGTAGGTCTTCTGCACTTGGATATGGGATGTCAAGCCCTTTACACCAGGCGAGCGCATGCACTATCGGTGACGTTCCTTGCGCTTACAGTTCCCGTAATCATAGTAAAGACTCGAAACGATACGTTACGATCAGACAGCCAGCATGCCAGTGCGCCACATTTGCACCCAAAGCCGAGTCTTAAAATCACCAGGACCACGATCACTTGGCCATGACATAACACTTATTTACAATCGTCACAGGCCATGAGCATGAGATTCCCGGTTGGCACTGCTCCTGGCTTCTTCCGCCGGCCTATTGCCAGGCGTTCAGCGGGATCTCTTGAGAAGGCGCAGTCGCTGATCTCTGGCAGACAGCTTGTCCAGCGCCACATGCTGGCCAGCATATAAGGAGACCCCCATCCGCTGGAGGAGAAGAACTGCCTCCAGGCTGCAGCGAACCCGGAGCGCCCTTTCAAGGAGCTGTGAGGCGGCTTGCTGTTGCATCTGCCCAAGTCCTCAGTCAGTAAACAAAAACAGATGCAAACAAAAATCACCTGAAGGGCTCCCCTACACTTCATACGTATCAGCATAACGTATCCAAGCATCCAACCAGCAAGACATTGATCCCTGCCCACTCCCTTCGCGGAAGCAAAGCTTCCAAGCCCTTACGTGTGCCCTCAGGAGTCTTGCTCTTGACCCAGCGAAGCCGGTTGGCAATTCGATGCACGTGCGTATCGACGCAAATGCCCTGAGGGCGATTAAAGGCACTGTGCATCACCAAGTGCGCCATTTTGGGACCAATGCCCGGCAGCGAGAGCAATCCTTCCATTGTCTGCGGAATCCACCCTTTGTAGTCTGAAAGGCAGACCTTCGCAGCAGCCCTCAAGGTCTTGGCCTTCACATTGAAGAAGCCAACTGCACTGATTAGCTTCGCCAGCTTCGCTTCTGAAGTCGCGGCAATGCTCTCCGCCGTGTTGCCATGTTTTCGCAAAACTTCCATTGCAGCAGCAGTGGCTTGATCCCTGGTCTGGGAAGATAACATGGCAGCTACCAAGCATTGCCATTCGTATGTTCGTCGGCTAGCTCTTACGTCCGCCAGGCGCTCACAACCGATCGAATCAACTGGAGCATCCTTTTTGGCCCTCAGTCGTTTGATGATGGATAGGTCCTTTTTCCATGACGGCGCTCCAGTGCGGCTTGCTTTGGACGCACACTTCACCATGGCTCACCACGTTTGCAACATACAGTTGCGATTGCACACATGATAACACTGTTGCATACTGTTACCAAAGTGTTGTTTTCACATGTCTTTGTCATCGCTGAATGACTGCTCAGAGGCATGTCCATATTGTCCATTGGCATTCGCAAAATTTTCCGTCACAGGGCATGCATGCAAGTGAAGGCACTCCGAACATGTAATGACATGTAATGACAACACCACTGTGCAAAGTGCTTCCGACAGTTCCTCCCCCCTCGCGACGTCCAGCTACAGACAAGCTTCTCGGACAAACGGAACCCTGCTTTATCGAAAGATCTGTCGCAGTAGCAATGCGAAGCCGCGTTGAGCTCTTGACCTAGTATCCAGATCAAGAAGGCTTGGGGCAGGGGTTGCTAGACTTAGACTTTCAATGCTGGAATCCTGGATGGCGGCTCTTTTTTCGCAGCCACAAAGCACATGACACCCTCTGTACATGCAGCTTGCCCGTGGCTGGAAAACTGTGCTCGAAGCTGCTACGATAGAAGAGCTTCCAACTATAGGGCTTGTTCCGATTTTGATCGTCAACAACGTATGAGAATAGCTGAGCAGGAAGCCTAGGTTTCGCTGTCAGGGGTGCCTTGAACTGCGCCTGTGGTTGGACTAGGCATAGACATGGGGCGCCTGGAGTTCTATGCAAAGGCTTGAACTACGTTGCCCAATTGGGGATGGCTGAGCGTACTTGCCATCCATGGCGATGGCATGAACCCACGCAAAAGAAGAAGGAAAACAAACTGATGGATGGATAGCTAGCGGATGGACAGATACATCAACCACAGCATGACCAAGAACCTCCACCTACCCTTTCACAGACTTGAAGCGAAACAAAGGAGGCTTCAGCATCTACATCGTAGCAGACTCAGGCAGCTCGCCAGGCAGAGACTAAGAAATACCTTGGCCACAACGACTTTCAGAAAGGGCTCGATCCAAACGAACACAAAAGACTGCTAAAACTACGGCCCCATTTTAGGGCCACTTCAGGGCTTTTGATTATCCTCTGAAGAATTTGCCCTCTTAGAGCCGGCCTACGAGAGCCCGGCTCCGGGACGTTACAGACCATGCCCATGGCTCTTTAGTTCAAGTCAGGGCGTTAAGATCGTTAAGGCAGTGAAGGCACGCATAGTCCCGGGGTAGATGCTCTGCGCGGTCGTAGAGGCGGGAAATCTCGGCGATGGTGTGGATCTTGCAGTGCCATCCGAACTTCCCTAGCCTCAGGTCGACAGAAGATGGGGCAAGAGGCAGGGATGCATCCAGCCACAAGGGCCTGTCTTGACTACCGACCGCATGAAAGCCAAAAGCCCAAAGCTGCAAACTCCCTAAGTAACCCCGCAGATCCGTATCCCCGGAAGTGCTAACCTTACGAAATCACAAAAGCGAAACAAGAGCCAAGCAAACCAAGGCCACTGAGAAACAGTCTGAGCTGATGAAAGTACTCTTAGGATCGTGCGAATGATTTTCTGGATGCAACTTGAAGCTGCTTACCTGCAGCCCTGAGCTAAACTCCAAAGCCTACATCCTGCACTCAAGAAAGTGTCCAAAGCAGCGCGAGTCGCAGCGCCGAAATCTGATCGGGTCCGGTCACGAGGTAGCGGTGCATGGAAGTAGCCTTTTCCTGCTTGGGGATTATATGCTTGGGGATTATAGGGTTCATACAAGCTTCGCGACAAGCTTCTGGCAGAAATCCAACCAAGTACTATTGCTGGCGGCCTCCCTCTGCCTCCGGCGGCATGTTCGGGCCACACTTTAGAGGATGGGGAGGAAGCACTCTTGGCAAAGCAGACTCTTGGCGGACCGGCTCCACGCTTTGACTCTCAGAGCCTGGAATCTTTCTGATCGCTTCTTCCGACGCTCTGAAGGCCCGGCGCACGCGTGACGAAGCTCTTTGGCTTCAAACCACACCGGCATGCGCGGTGCCGGCCAGGGGCCATGGGCGCTGGAGCCCGCTCTCCCGTGGCAGCCCGTATGCCCCTCCGACCTGTCCCCTGCGAAGCTGGCGCAGTGCAACTGCAGTACATTGTACATAAGACATAAGCATGTGAATGCACAACTGCCAAGCAGCCGAGGACGTTACATCACGGGGCTGCGTTCTGAAACCCTGCAACTTCAGACGCGCAAACCTAACCGAAAGCCTTGCTCTGAAAGGGACTCTGCAAAAGCAAGATCCCGATCTCCTTCATGTCACGACCTACAAAAGTTGCTGTCATCCGAGAGCTTGGATCTGCCTGAGGCGTGCGGATAGAAAGCTTTTCGATTCTCGACGTCTGGGGCTGCGGGAAGTGCGGCAGCGAGATCGAAGAGTCGGAGTGTCGATTTAATTCTGTGGTCTGTCCGCACTAGTAGGGTTCTTCGCTGCCGACCGTGCTTCTGGCAAAACAGCTTTGTCTGGCTTAGTTCGGACAAGTTCCGGCATCCAAGGGGCATCCAAAGACATGCGGTTCAAATTGTGGCGAGTGCATGTAGAGCTGACGCTAGAATTAGAAAGTGATCTCGATTTCGGGGTTTGGATGAAAAGACAAACATAGACTCAACAACGGACGCCGTGCGGCTAAGACGGGCAAGCCGGGACGGGACGAGCAGAGCGATGGAGATGTCGGGTTTTGGCGAGCATTTGGAGCTGGCACAATTTGTGGGTTTAGGGTTCAAAGGCTTGAGGCCGAAGCGGTGGGTGAGATTCATTCGACAGCCTAAGCTGCTTCACCCCTTGACATGCTGATGCATCTTCAAGGGAAGCATCCCAAGTACGGAGATGAGACCCCACGGCCTTGTCTCCATCGATCCTCCAAACCCCAAGTCCCCAACTTGGTATCCGCGGGCGAGGGACAAGCTTTGACAGCTGGGTGAGAAGTGCTTCGAGCTCGGCCTCTGTCAAGTAGCCCGTCAAGCCTCCGATTGAAGAACAGTCGTTGGTTCAGCTCGCTGGATGTGCCGCCTTATGTGGACTGCAGGACCTGGTTCTAGGTCCCTCGTGATGATCCATCGGTGTGTCTCTGTGCGCAAGACCTTACGTTTCCCCTCCAAGCCTTTCACTGCCTGGTTGATGCTTCAAGCTACAGGAAAAGCAAGCCGAAGTGGCCCTCCAGCAACCACATGGTTGGCACAGGCTGCATGCCAGCGGTGCGCAGATCAGCATCCCAACTATTCCTCGGATGCTGGTGCTTGTAGCATCAAACCGACCAAGCTATCTGATCCCATCTGAGTTCAAGCAAGGATGGCCCAGGCTGCCCAGGGTCAGGCTCAAATTTGCCACGACATTCGTCAGTTTTGCTTGTGGCTGGTGGCCCTCCAGGAGCTTTGCCTCGCAACTGTTGGGGAGGTGCAAGGATCGGGCGAGCCTGGGTCCAAGAAAGCCTTTTGACCTGTACTTCTTGCCTCAATGGATGTCCTCATCCTCACTTTGATACAGTAGCTTGTTTCGTGGGAATAACGGCACAAACAAGCATAACAAGACACACCGGGACTGGCCCGCAGCCCGTGGGAACCTGTGTGAAAGCCTACCTAACAACACCATCACGATATGAGCATTTTGATACTCGACCTGCTAACATTATATTTCCACTAACAGTAGCCTAGTCATTCCGGTGCCGGCTGGCCTTCGCGGACAACACCTCGGGGAAGTCCACCTCGAAAACCGGGGTGCCCTTCAACCCGTCTAGGCGGTAGGCGCGAGTATCCATCCCAGCACCTAAGATCACCAGCTGCTCCGTGGTGGGAGCAGTAACTTGTTCATCGATCCAGCGGGTCCTCACCGCGATAAAGTCCATCCAGAAGTCTTTGTTTTTCCCCACCTCTTCCATGAGGGGAAGCTCCATGCTGTCACTGCCACAGATGATGGCGGCAAAGGGATCGTGGAAGAGTCGATGCTCCTCTGGCTTCTTCGACTCCCAGGCCCGAAGTATGCACACGCCCAGGGCCGTTGTCGACACAGCAGCTCGACTTGTGTCATGGTGAACCACATGAGTGGGTGCCACTGTTGCCGCCGCCATGACTGCGACAGGCAGAAGCTAATCCAAAAGGCTAGCCCAAAGAAGCAATAGGCTCGGCAATGCGAGCACACAGTGAACGATGCACACATAATCCTTCTATTCTACTGCGCTTGAAGGCTTTTCCTGGAGTAGTCAATTCTTGCTCATCATGGCTCCGTGCATTCCTTCACTGCATCCTGGGGGACAAAGTCGCTGCAGGCAGTATGAAGCTGCTGCCCATGATGCTTGCGCAACTAGCTTTGCCCCAAAAGGCCTGATGCTTCTTGCCCGACCGTAACTTAGCGACAAAGCAGTACGCAGTACACGACTTTGGAGCATGCTGCGGCAAAGGCCCAGGCCCCATTCTTCTCGTAGACTGCCAAGAGCCTGAAACTCGATGCAAAACACGGAAAGACCATCAGGTACTCTAGAACCTTCCAGACTGGGCCGCGCTGCTTGCCCGAGATGCCGGGCCAAGCTTGAGTCGATAGCCTGATTGTGCCAAGCTGCGTATTGAAGCTGCGGATGTTGGGTCTCAAGCCTTGTGACTCAGGGCACAGTGCTTTTAAACCTTGCAAGCTCTGCTAGATGAGACAAAGCGTGCTCAGCAAACTGCACATGACACGGCCCCATCCGCTGGTCTAACATGAACAGCAACACCCCAGGCTCACGCCCGGATCTGTCTCGAGCTCCTGTCGTCACATGTCCACTCTTTCAGGTTCCAGCATGTGGGCTATTGCTATGGGTCCGTTCCAGAGAAATGTCGCCATGCGCCGAAGAGAGAGCGAGTCAGTGCGAGAGGGAAAGGCACATTGCCGAGGTCTGGGCTGGAGCTGTCAGCTATCTCCACAGATTCCCTCAGGCCTGAAACCGAAACTCCCCAAGCGTCCCCTACCTTCCTGAAACGAATAAAACCATCTGGCTCAGACGACGGCAGGAATTGCCTCCAGCAACTGAGCTGCTTGAAGCCAGAGTCCCGCCAGACTTGGCAGAAAATGGCGGTGCTTCGAGTCTAATTTAGGGACCTTGAAGATCAGAATAGGGCTTGGGGGGGGATACTCGATTACTAGTAGACTTCTATGGAACCTGAAAGGGGATACTATCACTTTCTAATTTAGTTCCTCCGACCTCTAGTAGGGCCAATCTGCGACAGCAAATCCTGAACCCATATGTGGGTGGAAGGTTTATGGCCTGGCTGCGGATGGCCTATTTCTAGGTACCTCAAAAACCTGCCTTCACCCAGTCTTGCGGCAAGGCCCAGGCTGCCGTCACGAATTGAAACTCCGGGCTCCGAAATGTGGCCGCAGACACAGAAGCTCGACTCTTGAGTGGGGCGGACTTTCTGGATGCTAGGTCCCATCCTCGCCTAAAAACCACTGAGCACAATACCCGTGCATATGCATGGCAGTGTTGTAGCTCACAACATCCAGCCTCCAGCAATCAAACACTCTGCCAACATGTTCAAAGATTGCCAAGACCCCTGATAAAGAATGGGTGCAACTTCAGAGCTGCATTGTTAAGGGTTGTGGTCCGCGTTTCGGGTTCTCTTTAGGAGTGAGTCGTCGGAGTATGTTGAAGGTGCGAAAACCGAAGAAGAATCATCAAACTCCTACCAGATCCAAAACTCCTAAAGTCATAAAACTTGGATGAGGACGCCATCCAGCCGTAAAAACAGCCAGAACTGGCAAGCCCCAGATCCAACCCCTAAATTTCTAAAGCCCCGACGGCCAAACACTGAAACTCTTTCTCCTAATACCCTACCAAGACCAGCCCCAAATACATCACTAAAGACTTCAATCTAAAACCCTGAAGCACTAAAGCTTCCAGCGCCCTAGAGTCCAAACCAAACTCTAAACCCGAAATCCTGAACTCAACCCTAAAACAAACCCCAAAGAATCACCAAATCACTGCTAAACCAAAGCCCGAAACCCCCAAAGCCCGCCCAAAAAAAACTCTACCAAACTCTTAAGCCTGAACGGTCATCCTCCTCCCGACTGCTCCCAAACCCTAAACTCTAGTAGAGGAAACCCACCCCAAACCAAACCCTAAACCCTCAACCAAACCCTACATCCCTAACCCGAAACCCCAAACCAAAGCATCATACCTGAATTCAACTTCAAACCCCGAATAATGACGCCTACCCAAACCCTAAGCTCGAAACCAAAACCTCCAAACCCTGAACTACAGTTGATGATATAAATCCTGCAATACCCATAATAAGGAATATACATACCATAGTTCCCATAGTTTAGGGTCTTTCAGGCAATACAGGATTTATATCATCAACAGTAGTAACACGTAAATCAGGCCCCCCCCCTAAATCGAAACCCGAACAAGTGCGGAACCCCTAAACCTTAAACTCAGCATTGAAATTGCGCAATGAAAGCTTAACTTCCCAACCCTGAACCCGTGAACAAACCCCAAACCCTCAACTGAACCTCAAACCCTGAGCAAACCCTTGCTGTAGAAGCCCCTTACAAACCACCTTCGTAAACACCCAACAAAACCCTTGTGAACACCCTGCAAAACCAGAAAACCCCTAAACCTGAAGCCCTAAACCCCTAAAACCCTAAAACCCTAAACCCCTAAACCCCTAAACCCCTAAACCCCTAAAACCCTAAATCCCTAAAACCCTGAATCCCGAAAACCCTTCAAACCCCCTTAAAACCAGGATCGAGGCGGCCTCTGCCGGTCCTCCCGAGCCTGGCGCCAAAGCGTCAAAGCCGAGGCCCAGGAACCCGAAGCCTCGCATTGGGGTTTAGGGTTTACCTGGACCCCAAACAACCTACCTTTTCAGGGTTCCTGATTATGATTTGCTTGTATAAGTCCTTAAAAAGTTCTTCGGGGTTAAGGTAGGGTTTAGGCTTTCGGGTTTCGGGTTGTGGGTTTAGGGTCTAGAGTTTAGGGTTTAGGGTTCGGGTTTAGGGTTTCAGGTTCAGGGTTTAGAGCTTCGGGTTTAGGGTTTCGGGGTTGACGGCTTGGGGCTTTAACTGACTTCGAAGGATTCAGGTTGAAGGGCTTTCGGTGTTTCTAGGGCTTAGAAATCTCTACAGGGCTGCGTTGGCATGTATATAAAGGCCAAGCTCCAATGAAACGAAAGCTCGGGATTTCAGAAAGAATGATGTTGGGCTAAGATTCAAGGATTGGGATTTGGATCCTGGGGATGGCATTGGTGGGTGCTCATGCTCGATGGTGAGCGACACTACGCTGGACTCAAAAGGCTTTTGCCAAAATTCCGACGTGGTCCGCTCTGAAGCGGTCCCTACCTGTGCCACAACCAACGTCTTGCAAAATGCACCTGCTAAGCCCATAAACCGTGAAAGACTGATACTGAAAGAAATGAATCGACGGACTCGGCAAAGCAGCCACAAGCTGTGCCAGACGAGCGTTCAGAAGCTGCGCAGCAGACCCTGGCGCGGCATGAGCCCGCAAAAACTTAAACTCTTCAGACTCAGACGGGAGATCCTCAAAATGGAAACCTACGCACATCGCCCTGTCCTAGGGTCGGCTTAGGGACTTTACGCTTGTGAGGTATCATCCTAGCTTGAATGCTCTGGTCCATTGATGGGTTCCCAACTGGAGACTATCAGTGGGCTTCAGGTGCGGATGAACTGCATGACGACGACAACGAGGAGGAGCAGGGCTGCTACTCATGCTCTCATGATTCTCGTTGCATCTGTCTCTTGCCGATGCGGTTGTTGTTGGTGGTGAATCTCATGATCATCGTGATCCTGGCCATCAACATAGGACTTGTTCAGTCTGATGAGCCATTGGTTTGTGGAACCCCAGCTGAATGCTTCAGGTCGCATGAAGCAGGAAAGAAACACAGACAACAATTCCACTGAGGCTGAATGTACTCGATCTATATCGGTACTTATTGGCACTCCTTCACAATCTCGCTAGCCACGACTACAGTCATAGCGACCTCTGGCTGCAACGGCTGCTCTTGCCTCAGGCGGACGGGTGCGTTACTTCATGTACATGGTTTGTTTGGTGGGGTCGGTGCTGTTGAACCCGTCTCGTGTCTCCAGGCTCGCATGTATCGACCCCACGAAGGTCCAGCCCTTCTTATGGCAAAAGACCGCAAGAGGCACTTCCGAAGCCTTGTGTGGGTGATGCTAGCTCCTTGGATGTGATGCTCTCGGGGGATGTCTCGGAGAAGCTGCGTCCGGATACACTGTTTTAGGATACAGAGTTCAAAATCCCATCGCGGGAATGAATCGACGCACTGAGCTGGTGCTTGTGGGATCGAGACACGAAGAGGCTCAGAATTTAAATCCTGCAGCCTCCAGCTAGAATATTAGAAACAATAACAACTGATGCAGACATTACGAGTCTTTTGCAGCTCAGGTCTCACCAGCAGCGATGCATGTGGCAAGATACCGTGAATTGAAGCACTCGGCTTTCAACACAGCACTGTTTGGGGTCTCATGTCTCATGTCGAGAACTGACCGGTATCTAAGCGAATCTAGCCGGAGCCTCGTGTTAGAGAGAGAGAGAGAGAGAGAGAGAGAGAGAGAGAGAGAGAGAGTCGTAGGTTTCCTTTTTTGCGCCACTCTTTTCACGCGAAGCCTTGGATCTCTGAGCCGCAAATCGGACCTTGCACTTGCAAAGCCCATGCCAGCAGAGCTCTGGCTGAAAACTGCAACCTGCCCCGACCTTGCAGAGCGGGAATGCCACAGCGCGGAATGGGAGGGGAACTTTCTTCGGATGTTTGAGCTCAGGCATATAGGCTTGAATTTGACCGTCACTCAAAGAGCCGGCGAAAGTTTTTCGGCACTCTTGCGCAAAAGAAGCCCGAATTAAGGCGTCAGATGGTCTCATCCTCCAGCACAAGTGCCGCCTTCTTCCCGTCCTCGGGAGTGTCTCGCTGGCTGCATTTATGGCTGTGCACCGGAGCTAGAGTTCGAACCCGCGTACGTGCGGAAGCTTGCTTTTCGGGGCCGTGGAAAAAGGATGGTACAAAGCATGAGACCTGCTTTGGCTCGTGGAAAGTGTTCTTCCTCGCCACCTGCAGGCAG